CCTATTACCCCTCCCCGGTGCCGCCCTATCAGTACGTCGTCCCCCCCCCCATGCGGGAGATGGGGCAGCCGGTGATGGTGCCTTTGATGTATATGGCCCCACCAGGGGTCCTAGGCGGCGTCGTCGCCCCCACGCAGCCTCCTGGGCCCTATTACGTCGTGATGGACTCTAAGGATAACGGGCCCGTGATGACCGCGCATGCTTAAGCGGAGCCTCAGCCATCCGGATCTCTTCCTTTTTTAAAAATAATATTTTTAGGAGAGGAGGAGAATCAAGCAAATGCATCGACCCCCCAGTCCTTCAGGAAGCGCAGGTTGCGCGTGGAAAGGGTGTTTGGAGAGGTATCCCACCTTGACGCAGTGTGCGTGACAAGCATTGTTATTATTCCATGATTTGCCATAGGGCTTCGTAAGGCAAAGTAGTAACAAAGCAAGTAAGTAAATTCAAAATGTATGAATACGTCATTAATTTTTTTAAAAGAAAATCAAGAGTGGAAATTAAGATTCTGAAAGGCGATTTCATACCTAAAAAGATTTAATTCATAATACACGCTTGTTCAGTCTTGATTCCCTCAACTTCATATTATTATTGTTGGGCTCATTTTTATTATTATATTTTTTCCTCTCTTAATTTCGTTTTGTAATTTTTTATACGTTTTATTATTATTATCATGTCGTTTGAAAGTATAGCCTTAAAACTAACTTTCTAAAGCAGGTTAATTCTTATTGCACTCCAATTTGAAATTTTGTGTTTGTTTGTTTGCCTTTTTAAAAGTATTAATACTTCATATATATACACATAATGTCATGAATCCATAATTTAAGTGTCTCATCTTTTTACAATTAATTCTTGAATCAGATCAATGAATTTATAAAATTTATCCCTTTCTCTCTCCCTTCTTCGAAAATTTATCTTCTCTTGCTATTCAATCCTAGAATCATAGGATTTATGGCTATCACGTAATGTGAGGATGAGCGAAGATAAATGTTGTTTTATTTTTAATATTTGTCTTTCACATTGCATTTGAAGATCATAGTGCAGGATTTGGAGGACGCTTCTGCCCTTCGTTTTCTACATTTTCTGATGTGCAGGTGAACCATCTAATAAACACCTTTTTCATTTTACTCTATGAAATAAAATCAGACTGAAATAGAATAAGTAAATTTATCCAACTTGCTAATATTCTACTTTTTGTCTATATTGTAGATAATCGGTGTTTTTTTCTATAGTCTTATAAAGTTTTAAAGACTTTGATGATTAATAATAATATTATGACTTGTAAAAGAAAAAAAAACGAAATTATATATCAAAGACCGATATTATGCCTTCCTGGGGAGACATTTATAGCATACTAAAACATTAAAATATGTATCATCTCTATTCTTACCCATGTTCTCACATCGCATCATAGGATTTCGTGCGTGGTGTGTGAATTTTTTTTGTGTATTCCTAAACGGTGTTTCTCCCTTTATAGGAGGTTATCGTTTCATTTTTCAATGGTTTCTCCATTTAGATTTGTAAAAACGCGTTGGATTGATACAACTGAGAGCGGTTGAGGCTAAACTGTACTTTCTTTGTCTTTACACATTATATCCATTCATAAGCTGAGTTTGACGATTTCTTTTTTGTTAGTTCACGTTATTAACTCTTTTTCGTTAACTCATAAAAAAGCTTAGCTTATGACAGTTATAGAAATTTATAGTGTTTTCGATACTCATTAAGATCAACAGGTAAGGAGAAAGTAATTACTAAAAGTGAAGGTGGCAAAAATATGTAGAGCTGACTTCATTTATTACTTTTATTCTTGATGCTGTGTGCGTATCGTCATAAAATTTGTACAAAAATTTGGTAGAATAATATATATATCTATTTTTTTTCGACTCAATAGTTTTGGTTTTGAAAAATATTTATGAATTTATTAAGAAGAACGTTCCCTTTAATGTTACTTTCTAATCATTATGTTTTTACCTAAGTATTGATGCCATAGATTCGTAAAGCTTGGATATTCTTACCTGTTTTTATATACATGTATTTAGACCTTTTATATTTAATACAGATTCAATATCATGGCAATATAAGCGAATAATTACAGAAAATTGATGTATATTCCTAGTCTGATTGCTCAATCTAATGAAAATATAAAATTGAATTCGAAAGATTTTCTGTTTTTTATTTTTTTTTTGGGTTTTACAATCCTTTTCATTCTGCATTTTTAATATCTATAGTGTTGTAGCTTTATTTGTTCAAATTTATTCCCTTCCTCTCCCAAATCTGTCAGTATGAGTTCGAGGAGGGGGGAGGGGGATGATATAGCACTAGCTATAAAAAAGCTTACACTAATAAAAAAGCAACTTATTATACCATTTTACTTGTAGCTAATGTTTTTGCTGCTACATTTTTCCCATTGATTGAGTTATTTATCCATTTTCATATTTAGTTGCTATTGATTTCATATTTAGCTACCTAAAAAGTTTAAATTATCCATCCCTACTGAATTAGAATGCGTATATGCATAATGACAATATATATATAAAGGGAGTCGAGTAACTTAAACTAAAAATTGCCGGATTAAATGAAGACCATAAAAACAAAATGAAAGGTTAATTCTTTCATCTATGTTTTTAATGCATTGATTTTATGTCACGACTAATCCTTTAACAAAATTGCTAATGGCTTTTATTCTTCTTGATCTTTTAACTCATATAGGAATCGTTTTTTTTATATCATAGTCGATAATTTTTTTCACCTATTCCAAAAGTTATACATTCAAATCCACATTCAAAGCTTGATACTTCAATATTTTGGGGTAAGTCATTCCACAAAGGTAAAATTTTTGATCCACCGAAAAGGCATTTTACTTAATTGTGTATAATCTCATTGTTTTTTTTTCTAAACGAAGGATCGTGTGCTCTGAACAGACAGTTTTCCCCCCTCACTAATAGCAGAACCGGTGCCTTTAAAAAAAGGGAATCGTCGTTCCACATATCGGTACTCTGACGTAAACTTGAGCCTATTATGAGTCATTAAGGTAGATATTTTATTATGTGTCGATCCTCCAAACTATGTGTATCGGGAAAGGATCGTTTTGACGAAGTCTCGTCATTGTCCGAAACCTCCCCCAAAGAGCTTGATTTCTGCTATCACAGTGATAAAGAGGGACATAAAGGAGGTAGTTATAGTTACGAGCATCAACCTAATCCTGAATACGCCAACGACGGGTCTGAACAACAAGACAAATTTTACTCAAACCATTTTTCGTCGCCATTTGACAGTGAGATTAGTAAACCAAAAACATGTACCTTGCTCGTCCCTTCTCTGGCTTGCAAAAAAACGTTGCATAAACCTGGGAGGCTTGATAACATAATCATAAGTGGCAGTACTTATCCAAGGATGGAGATGTCCTCGCATCGTGTTTTTTCCATCAGGGTTAGCGGTGCTAATTTCCATGATGTATTCATGGAAAAGCAACGGATACTCATGGACAAACTTAAGTACGACTTTGTCAAAATGTAGTCCATTCTTTCAAAAATCATATCAAGTTTTCGTGTGATCGACAGGTCATGTATATTGTAGTTTTTATCCCTCATTTTTTTAATATATATATACGTGGTAGCACAACGGTGCTATCTATTTGTTACTATACAAAGGAGTTTTTTTTTATTGCTTGAGAAGGAGCTGATAGGGGAAAAAAATATTCTTGACAAGCTGAAGTAACCCAATGTCAGAATCAGATATCAAATCCTTCCCCCTTCCTTTCTCAAACGAACAATTCAAAGGACAGGCCTTGCATAGTATATGTGGGAAGCTGAGACTTTAATATTCCCATCCTCTCCCTCCTTCAATTTTTTATTTCAGCTGCTACAAAATTTGACAGGTTCGTTCATGAGTTGCTGTGAGATTATACCCTTTCTTTTATATTAAAAAAATAGCCATATTCAAGAACTCTATGTATGGAACAAAGTCATTTTCCTTTTATATATTTAACCTTATTTTCATTTAGGCAAAAAAAAATTGTTTATAATCAACATCATATACGACATTATATTTCATTGTATATTTAGATTTTATCCTTATAGGATTCGAGAAAAAGTGTGATTGATGAAACTTAAATATTAAAGTTTTTCAGTTTTCTTTATCGTGTTCACCTTGAATGATCTTTTTTTTTCCTACTTACTTGCGACCCAGATATCTACGTAATACAAAGTATTTGTTTTAATTAGTATCTTGTCCAGAAACACCATTTTTGGTGTATACCCGCATTTTAGTCGTCAGCCGGAGTAGTTTCATAGGACTTTCTTTGGAAAAGGGATCAAAAAGTGTGTTTATTCGAAACCGAGACAAGTCTAACTACTGAAACGGAATACCCCAAGATGGTTCTTGATCATGCGCCGGTCACCGGGCTCACACTCTTATTTATGTCCATCTCCACCAAGATCAACCATGAACGGTTCAAACCCGTCAATGGGCATGTCCCCTTCCCACTTGCTCTTCGGGGGCTCAACCAGCCCGGTGCCTCGACCTTAGCCTGCCTCTTTGCGTACGCGCGGCACATGGCGGTTGAGGCCGCGCCCTTTGGCGTGCTGGGGACCTCCCTCCATGATATCCTCCTCGCCGTCAGCGTCGTTGTCCAGATGCGCGTGCTGGAGCGGCGATGGGGCCCTGGCTACTTCCTCTCCTTCTTGCTCACCTCGTCCGCGATAGGGGTGGGGGTGTTACATCTTTTAGTGTCCGAGAGCACGTATGGGGACCGGGTGCCCTTGGAGTCGTTACGACTGCTATCTGCCGGGGCCTCCTTGGCCACCTTTACCAGCCTCGCCACGCGCTACCTCTGCGAGGTGCCCTTGCGTAGCGATTTTTGCATTCGGGTGCCGGGCACCAGTATGAGCTTCACCGAGAAAGCGACCTTTGTGCTTCCACTCTTAAAGCTGGTGTTGGTCCCCGACATCGAACTTCAGTCCCCGACCCACCGGCGGAAGGCGGTGATGGTGGACATCGGTCTCTGGACGCGCGTTCTCCTCTCCCTTTTAGGGGTATTGATTGGATTAGCCTCCACGCACTCGGGCTGGTTCTCGTGGTGGCTGCATCTTTTCAGCAGGCGTGTATGCCGCCCGATCATCAACCTTCTTTGCCCGTTGTTGACCTATTTGTTTGGCCCACCGAATCTCGTTGAGCACTCGGTACCGCAGCAGCAGCAGCAGCAGCAGGGCTATCGG